GGGGGGAATACTATGAGCTCAGTTTTGGAAAGATTGAGTTTGAGGAAGTGGAGTGACATCCATGCCAATATGTCACTTAGTAGGTTAGTAATGCGAGTGGAGACTGAGGGGTGGGGTGAGGTGAGGAGTAGAACGATAGATTTGTGTGTGAGCAGCAGAGATGGTACTTAAAGCCATTGGAGTTTATCAAAAGACCAAGGGAGGAGGTGTAGATGGAGAAGAGAAGGGGTCCAAGGACAGAACCTTGTGGGACCCCTACAGAAAGAGGGAGTGAAGAGGAGGAGCCAGAGTTATAGGTAACGCTGAAGGAGCGCTACGATAGGTAGGAGGAGAACCAGGAAAGAGCAGAGTCTTGCAGGCCAAGAGAGTGGCGTTTTTTGAGGAGGGGGATGGTCAACAGTATCAAAAGCCGCAGAGAGGTCAAGTAGTAAGAGTACGGAGTAGGGGCCATTGGTTTTAACAGTTAGTACATCATTAGTGAGTTTTAGTAGGGTAGTTTCAGTGGAGTGTAGTGAATGAAAGCCAGACTGTAAAGGGTCAAGAAGGTTGTTGTCAATGAGGTAGGAGCTCAGGCAATTGTAGACTAAACGTTCTAAGAGTTTAGAGGTAAATGGGAGCAGGGAGATGGGTCTTAAGTTGTTCAGGTTGGAGGGGTCCAGCGAGGGCTTTGTAAGTATGGTAGTGATGTGTGCATGCTTTAGATGGGTGGGGAAGGCACCGTTAGAGATGGAGAGGTTGAAGATGTGAGTGAGGGAGCATAGGATAGAAGAAGAGAGGGACCGTAGTAGTTGTGAGGGTACAGGATCCAGGGGACAGGTAGTGAGACGGTCTTCTGAGAAAACCTTAGTGACCTCTTTAGTAGTAGCAAGGTCAAAAAAGGAAAGTGTTGAGGGAGGTTTAGTATAAGGTATGCTAAGTGGGATGGATGTCTGTGCAGTAGAGATGCCCCTACGAATTGCATCAATCTTGTTTTTGAAATGATTTGCAATCTCGTAAGTAGTGAGTGAGGTGCTGGGTGAAGGTGGAGAAAGTAGAGCGTTAAAAGTAGAGAAGAGATGAGGACGACTGAATGGCAAGCTATTGATGTGAGTGACAAAGTAGGCTTGTTTGGCAGCATGGAGGGAAGTATTGTATGTTAAGAAAGCAGATTTATATAGGGGTGAAGGGCTTGGTGTGATTTGGTTTTACGCCACATTCGCTCCAGTGCACGACTATGTCTCTTAAGATTTCGGGTGTCGTCAGTCTGCCAAGGTTGTAATGGTCGGGGCCTGATGCTTCGTGTGGGTAGAGGAGCAAGTGAGTCTAATGTGGATGATAGTGAACTGTTGTAGACAGCAGTGGCCAGGTCAGGGCAGGACAGGGGAGAGATTCTGTCATAGAGTAGAAAAGAGTAGAAAAGAGAAGTGTTAAAGTTGTGAATGTTTCTGCGGATAATTGTTTGCTGCTTCGATGGATAGGTGTTTGAAGACGAGGACACTGTGAAGGTGATGAGATTGTGATCAGAGAGAGGAAAGGGGATGTTTGTGAAGTTGTAGGGTGTGCAAAGACAGGAGAAAACAAGGTCTAATGTATTCCCATCAGAGTGAGTGGAGGACTGTGTCCATTGTGTTAAGGCAAAGGATGAGGTTAGGTTGAAGAGTTGGAAATTAGCTGGGTTGTTCACATTATTGGGGATGTTAAAATCTCCAAGAATGATAGTGGGTATTTCAGAGGAGAGAAAGTAGGGTAGCCAGGCAGAGAAGTCCTCAAGACAGCGGGACATCGGTCCAGGAGGTCAGTAGATCACGGCAGTCCTCAGAGAAATAATAAAAAACAGCCGAATGCAGTGAGTCTCAAAAGAAGAGAAGCCTAGAAAGGGAGGGTCATGGAAGACTTGAAAGGTGCTCAGTGGGGATAAAAGCAAACCAACTCCACCACCTTTCCGATAACAATATTTTGTTGAGAATTCTTTACTGGCAATAACTGCCTGAAGTCTGGAACCCATGGACATTACCAAAGACTGGGTTTCCTCCTTTCTGATGCTTTGCCAGGCTCTAACTGCAGCTGTCTTCGGTTGTTCTTTGTTTGTGGGTCTTTCTGCCTATAGTTTTGCCTTCAGCAAGTGAAATGCATGCTCAATTGGGTTGAGCACAGGTGATTGACCCAGCCATTGCAGAATATTCCACTTATTTTCCTTCAAAAGCTCCTCGGTTACGTTTGCAGTGTGTTTTGGATCATTGTCCATCTGTACTGTAAAGTGCCGTCCAATCAACTTTGCTGCATTTGGCTGAATCTGGGCTGACAGTATATCTCTAAACACTGCAGAATGACCCAGTGCCACTGGAAGCCATGCATGCCCGTGCCATCACACTGCCTCCACCATGTTTTACAGATGACATTGTGTGCTTTGGATCATGAGCTGTTCCAAGCCTTCTCCACACTTTTTTATTTCCATCATTCTGGTGCAGATTAATCTTAGTTTCATCCATCCAAAGAATGCTTTTCCAGAACTGGTCTGGCTTTTTTAGATGTTTTTTTGGCAAAGTCTATTCTAGCTTTTCTATTCTTTAGGCTTGTGAATGGTTTGCAGCTTGTGGTGAACCCTCTGTATTTGCTCTCGTGAAGTCTTCTCTTGATTGTAGACTTTGGCAATGATACGCCCACCTCCTGGAGAGTGTCCTTCACTTGTCTGGATGTTGTGAATGGGTTTTTCTTGACCATAGAGAGGATCCTGTGATCATCCACCACTGTTGTCTTCTGTGGAAGTCCATGCATTTTTGTGTTGCTGAGCTCACCAAAGAGTTCTTCTTCCTTAGAATGTACCAAACTGTTGATTTGGCCACTCCTAATGTTGCTGCTATCTCTGATGGATTTGTTTCGTTTTTGAAACCTTACAATGGCCTGTTTCACTTGCATGGACAGCTCCTTTGAATGCTTGATGTAGGTTTACAGCAATACATTCCAAATGCAAATACCATACTTAGAATCAACTCCAGACCTTTTACTTGCTTAATTGATGAAGAAACAGCTGTTGATTCTATTGTCCAATTACTTTTGGTCCCTTGAAAAAGGGGGGATGGCTACTCTTAAAAGCTGTAATTCCTAAACCCTTCCTCCAGTTTGGATGTACCGATGACCTGTTTCAATTCTTGAAATGCCAGAACAGTACAAATATCCCCAAATTACCCCTTTTTGGAAAGTCCAAGGTATTTAATAAGAGGCATGCAAGTTTTTTGATGTTGTAATTTGTGGTCCGTTTTTTGGACTTTTTTGTTTTTTACATACTGGCATCAGCGTATGAGTGGTGTGGCAGTGATCAGGGATACTGACTGGTGACAGTATGTAGTAAAAAAAAAATACATTTTATTCCATTTTTTTTTTTTCTTTACGTATTGTCATTGTCATCATAGTGACACCGTACTACTCGGGGGGGGGGGGGGGGATGGTCAGGATTTTTTGTTTTTTGTGGGGTTTTCTACACTGTGATTGCTTGTAACTGTGATGATCACTGTTACAGCAATTGTTTGAACTGTCATGAATGGCTTTCATTCAGGACTCATAGTTTACTATTGTGATACAGTGATTGACCACAGCTAATCACATGGTACAGGATGCTGATTGGCCGAAATACTATGTGATCACTGGTGACTAATCACAGATCACACACAGTAGTAAACAATGATGTCATGAATTCATATCATTCATGACTATTGTTTACTAGGTGATGTGATTGTGTGGTATCTGGGTCGATCACAACTGGCCAATACCAAGCACTGCAATCCGCTGGGTCTGGTGGACACAGGGATTGCAGATCGTGCCGCTGTGTACCTCGGGGCATGCACAATATGCAGAGCGGCATACGGGTATGTCACGGTGCCTGCTCAAGCCACTGGCCAGCAGTAAAATTACTGTTGGCAGGTCCACGAGTGGGTAAAGAGTGTGACAAAATTGGTGATTTTTTTCCACATATGATATACATACATTAATTATATTATTTTTTAGCATTATCACCCTATCCCACACTAAGCTGCCAGCTCCTAATATACAGTAAATGTATTTGTACAAATTAAAAGGAACAAAAAAAAAAATAGTACAGGTCTATTCCAGGCTAAAAAATTAGTTCACCTTTTGTAACATGTTACACCCATATACAGCCTCTGCTCTAACCCCTCCCCCCCCCAATCCCCCATTTTGACAGCTAGTGGGGGATCTTCTCCCCCTGCTGGCTGTGACAATCTAAAGGAAAAATCAGCCGTGCAGTGCTCTGCCCTCCCAACTGCGTCATTCATTCACAGTATTCTGTGCACAGGAAAACTACAAGTCCTCACAGCCTCTGCAGCTGTTGGCTTGTAGTTCTCAGTGAACTACCAAAGCACTGTTGAGCTCTCTAGGTAGTTCATTAGGCTTCCTGTCATTGTTTAACTACCTGCCCGTATCAGAGGTTCAGGCAGACAGCCACATAGACAGTTTACAGGACCATGACATTTCACCCACACAGTGGCGTCACTAGGGTGGTTGTGTTCTGGTAAAACATGGTGTACTTTCCTAAAAAAAAAAACACACACACACACACACACAAACCACTAAATGGGTGCACTATACCCGAGCAACTGGTAAACATCACCCAGCATATGTTAGCAGCAATCTGAGCAATGCTGAGTCTCACTCTTCCTGCTGTTCAGCCCACTTCCATTTCTGTTGTGATGCCGTCACTCCTCAGACTCCACCTTTGAATGTCATCATGATGAAACCAAAAGTGGACTAACAGGTTGAAGCAAATTTCCTGAAATCGCTTCTAAACTATATTATGACTTTCATATGATTTGCTATGATTGGCAAAGTTTTTATGATTGAATTTTTTTTTTTTAGAAAAAGAGATGCTAAAAATGTAGACACTTCCAAATGGTTTAGTAAAATGGTGGCACATTTAAATCCTACACCATGAAAGCTTTAATTGCATGTTTATAGGCCTAAAATCATGCAGTTTTTGTTTATGCCATAGATATCTTGTGCTTTTTTAGGTGTGGTGTGCTGCAAGTGGGAGACCGAGTTATTGCAATAAACGGTGTGCAGACAGAGGACAGTACCTTTGAAGAAGCCAATCAACTTTTGAGAGATGCAACTATTGCTGGAAAAGTAACTTTGGAAATTGAGTTTGATGTTGCAGGTTGGTTGAAAGTGTCATAATATAATGAGCATGTTAGGTTATATGGGGAACAAAGCATAATTGCCTCTCACTTGCTCTTCTTCGGTAGTGGTGAGCATAGGTGGGTAGAGGTATTGAGCCTGATCATTCATGTAACTGATACAAAATATCAGGGGTACAGAGAGCACTCAAATCAGAATAAATACAATGAAAACAAATTATACAAGGTAATGACGATAATCGTTAAAACCGCTGCATATGCACCAACATAGGAACCCTAAAAACCTAGTAAAAATCAATAAAAAAGTGCAGCGCTGGATAAATAGTTATCACCAATAAATAAATAGTATCACTAATACAGTAGAAAATTATTATAAAGTGAATGTTGCGCATCAACAGGCGCAAAATAGGAATGTGATAAGATCAAAAAGTCTGAAATTCAAATAAGTGTTCAAAATAGTGCAGCAGGCTTGACGTGATCAGATCAGCAGATAGGTGTTTCCTTCATATATAATCAATAGTGACTTCTGGTGAAAATCTGTGCGATCCAATCTGATATTTATATAAAACGTGCACTCACCAGATGCGCATTAAGCAGAATAAGACTCTGTATGGACCCCTTTAGGTAGATCTGTCAGCCAGCATGGAACAAGGATCCCTCCTCTGGACACAAGCTTCCTCTGCAGCCACACTTCCTCTGGGGGTCTCTGTGAGCTTAACTCAAATTAGAGCCAATGATAAAAAAATTCCTCATAGTGTAGTAGTATATAAAATGCCAATTTATTAATGGAAATGATCATCCATCCAGATAATAAAAATGTTGCATTTAGCAACTAAAAAATGCAAATTCAATAGAACTTCCTGATAGTAAAAGACGTGGCTGATCAGCCACTCTCCAAAATGGCAGCCAGACCTTCGTACGGCTCCGGCAGCATGACATCACAAGGTATGGCTCCTCCTTGATGCGTTTTGTGCCAAGCACGTTATCAAAAGGGGTGTCATGTAACTGACTGACTGCAAGAGGCATTGGCTAGACCTCCGTTCTAAATAACAGTGTGTGATTTAAGCCAGAGGGTTATATGCAATAATTTGCAATATTTTTAAAAACACTTTTAAAACTGTGTATGGAAAAGGGCTCATGACTGTGAAGAGACATCTGATATTTATGTAACTTTGCTGAGCAATCCATTGCTGTGGTAAGCTCCTATGTTAGGCAAAAAAAAAGTACCAAAATGACTGTTGGTTTGCTTTCCCCATTGATTTTACTAGACAGTCGTTGTGCACCAAAAATATCAAACTTACTATTACAACTTTTATTTTAAATTACACCTGTCATGTCTATATTGTTTCTAAGCTGGCCCGAGAACAGCAATATAGGTTCCTAGTTGTGCCTACACATACCTAAAGAAAGTGTCACAAAGCACTCTTGTGTGCAAATTCTAACATTTCTTATTTTACTTAAAGCTGCCCTGTCCCCATTTGCAGCTTCCCATAGGATGGTAAGGTTGCTTGCCACAGTGGTGAGCCAAGTTGCAGGAGGTGGTAGTTCATTAAGAACTACAAACCAACAGCCGCGAAGGCTCCTGGACTTGTAGTTTTCTCATTCACAGAATACTGTGAACGAGTGATGCGGGCAGGCAGAGCCTCGCATGGCTGCGTTTTAAAAAAAATTGTGACAGCTAGCTGGGAGAAGATACCCCGGTAGCTCTCACAAAAGGGATCGAGGGTGGTGGTGGGTGCAGTAGCCGCTCCATTCATAACATGTTACACCCTGAATATGGATGTAATATGTTACGAACTATGAACTTATCCTTTTACGTTTCTTTGACTTTCCTAAACTATATACCTAGCCTGGGACATTGGCTCAGATTGTTTTGAAGCTGAAGTCAGGACAGCACCTAAATTGCAGGCATTTCATAAAGGTCAGCAATGGCAGTCCACATGTTTCTCTCATGAAAGATTTTCTTTAACCATAAAGCTTACAGTCAGGTCCATAAATATTGGGACATCGACACAATTCTAACATTTTTGGCTCTATACACCACCACAATGGATTTGAAATGAAAGGAACACAATGTGCTTTAACTGCAGACTGTCAGCTTTAATTTGAGGGTATTTACATCCAAATCAGGTGAACGGTGTAGGAATTAAAACAGTTTGCATATGTGCCTCTCACTTGTTAAGGGACCAAAAGTAATGGGACAGAATAATAATCATAAATCAAACTTTCACTTTTTAATACTTGGTTGCAAATCCTTTGCAGACAATTACAGCCTGAAGTCTGGAACGCATAGACATCACCAGACGCTGGGTGTTATCCCTGGTGATGCTCTGCCAGGCCTCTACTGCAACTGTCTTCAGTTTCTGCTTGTTCTTGGGGCATTTTCCCTTCAGTTTTGTCTTCAGCAAGTGAAATGCATGCTCAATCGGATTCAGGTCAGGTGATTGACTTGGCCATTGCATAACATTCCACTTCTTTCCCTTAAAAAACTCTTTGGTTGCTTTTGCAGTATGCTTTGGGTCATTGTCCATCTGCACTGTGAAGCGGCGTCCAATGAGTTGTGAAGCATTTGACTGAATATGAGCAGATAATATTGCCCGAAACACTTCAGAATTCATCCTGCTGCTTTTGTCAGCAGTCACATCATCAATAAATACAAGAGAACCAGTTCCATTGGCAGCCATACATGCCCACGCCATGACACAACCACCACCATGCTTCACTGATGAGGTGGTATGCTTAGGATCATGAGCAGTTCCTTTCCTTCTCCATACTCTTCTCTTCCCATCACTCTGGTACAAGTTGATCTTGGTCTCATCTGTCCATAGGATGTTGTTCCAGAACTGTGAAGGCTTTTTTAGATGTCGTTTGGCAAACTCTAATCTGGCCTTCCTGTTTTTGAGGCTCACCAATGGTTTACATCTTGTGGTGAACCCTCTGTATTCACTCTGGTGAAGTCTTCTCTTGGTTGTTGACTTTGACACACATACACCTACCTCCTGGAGAGTGTTCTTGATCTGGTTAACTGTTGTGAAGGGTGTTTTCTTCACCAGGGAAAGAATTCTTTGGTCATCCACCACAGTTGTTTTCCGTGGTCTTCCGGGTCTTTTGGTGTTGCTGAGCTCACTGGTGCGTTCCTTCTTTTTAAGAATGTTCCAAACAGTTGTTTTGGCCACGCCTAATGTTTTTGCTATCTCTCTGATGGGTTTGTTTGTTTTTTCAGCCTAATGATGGCTTGCTTCACTGATAGTGACAGCTCTTTGGATCTCATGTTGAGAGTTGACAGCAACAGATTCCAAATGCAAATAGCACACTTGAAAGGAACTCTGGACCTTTTATCTGCTCATTGTAATTGGGATAATGAGGGAATAACACACACCTGGCCATAGAACAGCTGAGAAGCCAATTGTCCCATTACTTTTGGTCCCTTAACAAGTGGGAGGCACATATGCAAACTGTTGTAATTCCTACACCGTTCACCTGATTTGGATGTAAATACCCTCAAATTAAAGCTGACAGTCTGCAGTTAAAGCACATCTTGTTCGTTTAATTTGAAATCCATTGTGGTGGTGTATAGAGCCAAAAATGTTAGAATTGTGTCGATGTCCCAATATTTATGGACCTGACTCTATATAAATGTTATAACTTGTTTTATGTAAAATTATAAATTTGTAGTTATGCAAGTCATGGTTTCTGGAGAACATAAGAAGTACACTTGTTATTTCTTTGCTGTATTACATAACAGAACATTACTACATTTGAGGACAGAATTCACCCAACAAACATTGACATCTTTGCTTGGCTTTACAAATACCATCACTTAAAAGTATTTTTTTATTACAGTGCATTTAATTACTGAAACTATTACTTTTATTGTTTTTTGTTCATATTGATGGTTATAATGTCTCCTGAATATTGTTTTTCAGAATCTGTGATACCTAGCAGTGGAACATTCCATGTAAAATTACCAAAGAAACACAATGTTGAACTTGGCATCACCATAAGCTGTAAGCAGATGCTTTTTTATATATATATAAAACTGATTTTATTGATTTTCAATAACGTTTCATAACAATGGAAAAAGTTGGGTATACACGTGATACAGTTCAGCAGCAAATGTTTTATGATTGAATTTAGAAATGTGTTTTTCAGAGAGTCTTGATGAAAAAAAACTTTCTTTTGTATGAATATTTCAAGAGTGATATGTTTTTCCATTCTCTTGCTTTTAAGTAAAGTGACTTGCTTTTGAAGCTTTGTGTATCTGAGTGCAGGGGCGGACTGACAATTTGGAAACTCGGGCACTGCCCGGGGTAAGTAGGGGGCCCCATGAGGTGCCCCTGGTACCTTTTTCATAGGCTTTTTTGAGTTTGGGCAAGGACACAGGGGCCCCATGATCCCCTATTGCCCGGGGCCCCATGAGTTGTCAGTCCGCCCCTGTCTGAATGTATTCTTAATACTCATGGAAGTTTATTCCCATTGTTAATATTGGGATCCTTTTGTAGTTTTCACGCAAAAGTTGCATTGCTTTGCCTTGAAATGGCATAGAAAGGTGTAGCCTGCCATTGATGTGCTCTCTGCTTGGTCTTCAACCCAAAAGAGTATGAAACTTGATACAGCCTTATATTTAGCATTTTCAAAAGAGGTCAGCAGTGGCAGCTCCATGACAAGTTTTCTAAACCTGATTGCTTACTATGAGTTACAACTCTTAATGTGCCTCTGATTTCATGTATCACACTCTGTTGTGCTGAAAAAGTCATATACTAGTCTGGAGCAGGTTAACACAATTAGCGGTTTACCCTTCTACATTTTTCATGTGGGGCAGTTTCATTGCATGTATTTTACACATGTTCATCCTTCAGCAAGTTTAATTTTTTTTGTTGTGTACCATTATGGAAATTTCCCTTCACTCTCTATCTCAGAGAAACAGCAGGTCATAAAAGGAAATACCTAAAAGTTAGGGAATTCACACCTCTTAAAGAGTTGTCCACAGAACAAATATTCCCAGTGGAAGATTTTCCCGTATTTTTTGTTCTAGGGGCATCTCTAACACTGTGAATTTCCCCTTGCTTTGTTTCTCGGTGACAGTGGTCACTAAGACAAGTAGAGGGATGAATCTCCCTGATGGTGACAGAAATAAAAACCTTGCAGCATCTAACCCTTCCCCCTCTATCCAAAACTATAAAAAATACACTAAACAGATATACTAAAATTTCAGCTCCTTGCCTTCTGCTAAGAAGCCTCAACATGACGGTGTTTCAACTATGGTGGTAACATGCCTCTTGTACACAGTGCTAGAAGCACAGCCTGGAAATGTCTGCCTGCATTAGGGATTACTGTAATCGCCCAATATAAAAAGAATTCATGCTGTTTTATGCCTAGTGGAAAATGTGACCATATTAATATACAGTTTGAAATATTCAGCACAGATGCGTAATATCCCCTGGGGATTGAATGACCTGCTGTACATATGAGCTATGAAGATATGTTAAGTAGGACAGTAATGACATTAATACCATTAAACAATACTATATAAATGCTTAAAAAAGATGGTGGCGATTTGCTTACCTCAAATACCTGGAACAGAGTACATAATAGAAAGTGTATGAATTATGAATGAGGACTGGGTCAGCTGGCAGAAATAGATATAGACAGGAGAGCTATAAGTTAAGGTATCAGTGTCTCACTTTCATTTAGCAGAATGCAGATAATGCCAAGTCAGGGATCGCTCAGGTTACATCCCAGTAGACAAAGCAGGAAGTTGGGAAAGTTAACAAGCCATTAAACTCATCGAGCTTTCGCTGAATGCATTAGAGTTGCACAACAGATTGTTGTAACAAATGCAGCCTGCTGATGTGACAAACGGATGGAGCCATCCTTTTGTTAATTTGGCAGACACGTTTAGATGTATCTTGTGTTATTAGAGATGCACATATGTTAAGACAGACTGATTTTATAATATTTGTTGTTTTTTTGCAGCTTTGTTTCTGCAAGCCGGATGTTATTTCCCCAAAATATGAATAATTGTAGTAATTTATTTTGGTAGAAATTACCAGTCACTGAAATGTTTCCAACTCTGAGAAGAGTCTGAAATTTACTTTTTTTTATATTTACACATTTTCTATTGTCAAATTCTGAGAAAAAGAAGCTATATATTATTAAAGGATCAGTCCACCCAAAACTGAATTCAAGTGATTATGGGTATCACTGTTTTTTACAGCTTTTGGGGACCCTGGTGTTAAAACCTCTGCATCAGTATTCCCCACTCTGTTTACATGCTGTAAGCTACATGGATGGTTCAGCCTGATAGACTCTACTTGTAATTGTATCAAGATCCAATTTTTCTTCATTATTTGTTGTCAGGCATTCTTCAAAAATAGAAGTACTTGGTTAAGTAAAATATATTTATACCGTGTGTGTATGTGTACTGTATATGTGTATGTTGTGTGTGTGTATATCAGGGGCGGACTGACAACTCATGGGGCCCCTGTGTCCTTGCCCAAACTCAAAAAAGCCTATGAAAAAGGTACCAGGGGCATCTCATGGGGTCCCCTACTAACTCCGGGCCCTCGGGCAGTGCCCGAGTTTCCAAATGGTCAGTCCGCCCTTGGTGTATATATATGTGTGTATGTATGTGTGTATGTATGTATATATGTATGTGTGTGTGTATATATATATATATATATTATTTATTACAACCAAAAACGTAAGTGTATTTTATTAGGATTCTGTGTGATAGACCAAGACAAAGTGGCAAATAATTAGTGGAAGGAAAATGATAAATGGTTTTCAAAGTTTTTTACATATATCTGCAAAGTGTGGCATGCATTTGTGTTCAGCCCACTTTACTCTGATAACCCTATCTAAAATCTAGTGGAGCCAATTGCCTTCAGAAGTCACCTAATTGGTAAATAGAGTCCACCTGTGTGTAATTTCATTTCCGTATAAATAGAGCTGTTCTGTGAAGCCCTCACAGGTTTATTAGAGAACATTAGTGAACAAACAGCATCATGAAGGCCAATGAAAACACCAGACAGGTCAGGGATAAAGTTGTGGAGAAGTTTAAAGCAGGGCTAGGTTATAAAAAAATATCCCAAGCTTTAAACATCTCACGGAGCACTGTTCAATGCGCCATCAGCAAATAGCGTATGGCACAACTGCAAACCTATCAAGACATAGCCGTCCATGTAAACTGACAGGTCAAGCAAGGAGATCATTATTCAAAGAAGTAGCCAAGAGGCCTATGGTAACTCTGGAGGAGCTGCAGAGATCCACAGCTCAGGTAGGAGAATCTGTCCACAGGACAACTATTAGTTGTGCACTCCACAATTTTAGCCTTTATGGAAGCATGGCAAGAAGAAAGCCATTGTTGAAAGAAAGCCATAAGAAGTCCCGTTTACAGTTTGCAAGAAGCCATATGGGGGGCACAGCAAACATGTGGAAGAAGGTGCTCAGATCAGATAAAACCAAAATTTTACTTATTGGCCTAAAAGCAAAGCACTGTGTGTTTCGGAAAACTAACACTGCACATCACCCTGAACACACCATCCCCACCGTGAAACATGGTGGTGGCAGCATCATGTTGTGGGAATGCCTTTCTTCAGCAGGGACAAGAAAGCTGGTAAGAGTTGATGGGAAGATGGATGGAGCCAAATACAGGGCAATCTTGGAAGAAAACCTGTTATAGTCTGCAAAAGACTTGAGACTGGGGTGGAGGTTCACCTTCCAGCTGTACAACGACCCTAAACATACAGCCAGAGCTACAATGGAATGGTTTAGATTAAAGCATATTCATGTGTTTGAATGGCCCAGTCACAGTCCAGACCCGAAATCCAATTGAGAATCTATGGCAAGTCTGTTCACAGACTCTCTCCGTCCAATCTGATAGAGTTTGAGCTATTTTGCAAAGAACAATGGGCATAAAATTCACTCTCTAGCTATGCAAAGCTTGTAGAGACATCCCCTAAAAGACTTACACCTGTGTTGCAAGACATTTTGTTTTAATCTATCACATAAAATCCCAATAAAATACAGTTACGTTTTTTGTTGTAACATGACAAATTGTGTATGTGTGTGTGTATATATACAGTTAGGTCCCTATATATTTGGACACAGGCACAATTTTCATACTTTTGGCTCTGTATGCCATCAGAATAAATAAAAATGAAACAATCCAAATTAATTTGAATTGTAGACTTTCAGCTTTAATTCAAGGGGTTGAACATAGATATTAAGTACAAATTTTAGAAACTGCAACCATTTTTATACACAGCCCCTCCATTTTCAGCGGCTCAAATGTAATTGAACAAATGAATATAATCATAAATAAAATGTTCATTTTTAACATTTTGTTGAGAATCCTTTACTGGCAATGACTGCCTGAAGTCTGGAACCCATGAATATTACCAAAGACTGGCTTTCCTCCTTTCTGATGCTGTGCCAGGATCTAACTGCAGCTGTCTTCAGTTGTTCTTTGTTTGTGGGTCTTTCTCCCTTTAATTTTGGCTTCATCAAGTGAAATGCATGCTGAATTAGGTTGAGATCAGGTGATTGATTTGGTTATTGCAAAATATTCCACTTCTTTTCCTTCAAAGGCTCCTGGGTTGATTTTGCAGTGTGCTTTGAATCACTGTCCATCTGTACTGTGAAACGCCGTCCAATCAACTTTGCTGCATTTGGCTGAATCTGGGCTGTCTCTTCTCTTAACGCTGCAGAATTCATCCGGCTGCTTCTGTCTTCTGTCATATCATCAATAAACACCAACGACCCAGTGCCACTGGAAGCTATGCATGCCCATGCCATCATACTGCCTCCACCATGTTTTACAGATGATGTTGTGTGCTTTGGATCATGAGCTGTTCCAAGCCTTCTCCACGTTTTTTTTTCTTCCCGTCATTCTGGTACAGATTAATCTTACTTTCATCCGTCCAAAGAATGCTTTTCCAGAACTGGTCTGGCTTTTTTAGATTTTTTTTGGCAAAGCCTAATCTGGCTTTTCTATTCTTCAGGCTTATGAATGGTTTGCACCTTGGGTGAACCCTCTCTATTTGCTCTTGTGAAGTCTTTTCTTGATTGTAGACTTTGACAATGATACACCCACCTCCTGAAGGGTGTCCTTCACTTGTCTGACGTTCATGCTTTTTTATGTTGCGGAGCTCATTAGTGCAATCTTCTTTCCTCAGAATGTACCAAATTGTTGATTTGGCCACTCCTAATGTTGCTGCTATCTCTCTGATGTATTTGTTTCATTTTTTGATGCCTTTCAATGGCCTGTTTCACTTGCATGGACAGCTCCTTTGAACGCATGATGTAGGTTCACAGCAATAGATTCCAAATGCAAATACCACACTTAGAATCAACTCCAGACCTTTTACTTGCTTAATTGATGGAGAAATAATAGTCCACACCTGGCCATGAAACAGCTGTTGATTCAATTGTCTAATTACTTTTGGTCCCTTGAAAAAGGGGGTGGCTATTCTTAAGAGCTGTAATTCTTAAACCCTTCATTCAATTTGGATGTACGTACCCTCAAATTAAACCTGAGAGTGTGCACTTTCAGCCCATATCCATTATATAACAATAGCTTGAATATGTTTTGGTAAATACTTGAAAAAAATCTACAATTGTGCCTGTGTCCAAATATATATGGACCTAACTGTGTGTATGTATGTACAGTGGGGCAAAAAAGTGTTTAGTCAGCCACCAATTGTGCAAGTTCTCCCACTTAAAAAGATGAGAGAGGCCTGTAATTGGCATCATAAGTAGACCTCAACTATGAAGAGACAATATGAGAAAAAAAATCCAGACAATCACATTGGCTGATTTGGAAAGAATTTATTTGCAAATTATGGTGGAAAATAAGTATTTGGTCAATATCAAAAGTTCATCTCAATACTTTGTTATATATCCTTTGTTGGCAATGACAGAGGTCAAACGTTTCCTGTAAGTCTTCACAAGGTTGGCACACACTGTTGCTGGTATGTTGGCCCATTGCTCCATGCAGATCTCCTCTAGAGCAGTGATGTTTTGGGGCTGTTGCTGGGCAACATGGACTTTCAACTCCCTCCAAAGGTTTTCTATGGGGTTGAGATCTGGAGACTGGCTAGGCCACTCTAGGACCTTGAAATGCTTCTTATGAAGCCACTCGTTCGTTGCCCGGGTGGTATGTTTGGGATCATTGTCATGTTGGAAGACCCAGCCATTTTCATCTTCAATGCCCTTGCTGATGGAAGGAGGTTTGCACTCAAAATCTCACGATACATGGCCCCATTCATTCTGTCCTGTACATGGATCAGTTGTCCTGGTCCCTTTGCGGATAAACAGCCCCAAAGCATGATGTTGCCACCCCCATGCTTTACAGTAAGTATGGTGTTCTTTGGATGCAACTCAGCATTCTCTCTTCTCCAAACACGACGAGTTTGTGTTTCTACCAAACAGTTCTATTTTGGTTTCATATAACCATATGACATTCTCCCAATCCTCTTCTGGATCATCCAAATGCTCTCTAGCAAACTTCAGACAGGCCCGGACATGTACTGGCTTAAGCAGGGGGACACGTCTGGCACTGCAGGATCTGAGTCCCTGGCGGCGTAGTGTGTTACTGATGGTAGCCTTTGTTACGTTGGTCCCAGCTCTCTGCAGGTCATTCACTAGGTCCCTCCGTGTGGTCCTGGGTTTTTTGCTCACCGTTCTTGTGATCATTTTGACCCCACAGGGTGAGATCTTGGGTGGAGCCCCAGATCGAGGGAGATTATCAGTGGTCTTGTATGTCTTCCATTTTCTAATTATTGCTCCCACAGTTGATTTGTTCACACCAAGCTGCTTGCCTATTGCAGGTTCAGTCTTCCCAGCCTGGTGCAGGTCTACAATTTTGTTTCTGGTGTCCTTTGACAGCTCTTTTGTCTTCACCATATGGGAGTTTGGAGTGTGACTGTTTGAGGTTGTGGACAGGTGTCTTTTATACTGATAACAAGTTCAAACAGGTGCCATTGATACAGGTAATGAGTGCAGGACAGAGGAGCCTCTTAAAGAAGAAGGTACAGGTCTGTGAGAGCCAGAAATCTTGCTTGTTTGTAGGTGACCAAATACTTATTTTCCACCATAATTTGCAAATTTTTTCCAAATCAGCCAATGTGATTGTCTGGATTTTTTTTCTCATTTTGTCTCTCATAGTTGAGGTCTACCTATACATATACATACAGTCAGGTCAATAAATATTGGGACATTGACACAATTCTAACATTTTTGGCTCTATACACCACCACAATGGATTTGGGCTTTAACTGCAGACTGTCAGCTTTAATTTGAGGGTATTTACATCCAAATCAGGTGAACGGTGTAGGAATTACAACAGTTTGCATATGTGCCTCCCACTTGTTAAGGGACCAAAAGTATTGGGACAGAATAATAATCATAAATCAAACTTTCACTTTTTAATACTTGGTTGCAAATCCTTTGCAGTCAATTACAGCCTGAAGTCTGGAATGCATAGACATCACCAAACGCTGGGTTTCATCCCTAGTGATGCTCTGCCAGGCCTCTACTGCAACTGTCTTCAGTTCCTGCTTGTTCTTGGGGCATTTTCCCTTCAGTTTTGTCTTCAGCAAGTGAAATGCATGCTCAATCGGATTCAGGTCAGGTGATTGACTTGGCCATTGCATAACATTCCACTTCTTTCCCTTAAAAACTCTTTGGTTGCTTTTGCAGTATGCTTTGGGTCATTGTCCATGTGCACTGTGAAGCGGCGTCCAATGAGTTCTGAAGCATTTGGCTGAATATGAGCAGATAATATTGCCCGAAACACTTCAGAATTCATCCTGCTGCTTTTGTCAGCCGTCACATCATCGATTAAATACAAGAGAACCATTTCCATTGGCAGCCATACATGCCCATGCCATGACACTACCACCACCATGCTTCACTGATGAGGTGGTATGCTTAGGATCATGAGCAGTTCCTTTCCTTCTCCATACTCTTCCTATCACTCTGGTATGAGTTGATATTGGTCTCATCTGTCCATAGGATGTTGTTCCAGAACTGTGAAGGCTTTTTTAGATGTCGTTTTGGCAAACTCTAATCTGGCCTTCCTGTTTTTGAGGCTCACCAATGGTTTACATCTTGTGGTGCACCCTCTGCATTCACTCTGGTGAAGTATTCTCTTGATTGTTGACTTTGACACACATACACCTACCTCCTGGAGAGTGTTCTTGATCTGGTTAACTGTTGTGAAGGGTGTTTTCTTCACCAGGGAAAGAATTCTTCGGTCATCCACCACAGTTGTTTTCCGTGGTCTTCCGGGTCTTTTGGTGTTGCTGAGCTCACCGGTGCGTTCCTTCTTTTTAAGAATGTTCCAAACAGTTGTTTTGGCCACGCCTAATGTTTTTGCTATCTTTCTGATGGGTTTGTTTGTTTTTTCAGCCTAATGATGGCTTGCTTCACTGATAGTGACAGCTCTTTGGATCTCATGTTGAGAGTTGACAGCAACAGATTCCAAATGCAAATAGCACACTTGAAATGAACTCTGGACCTTTTATCTGCTCATTGTAATTGGGATAATGAGGGAATAACACACACCTGGCCATGGAACAGCTGAGAAGCCAATTGTCCCATTACTTTTGGTCCCTTAACAAGTGGGAGGCACATATGCAAACTGTTGTAATTCCTACACCGTTCACCTGATTTGGATGTAAATACCCTCAAATTAAAGCTGACAGTCTGCAGTTAAAGCTCATCATTTCAAATCCATTGTGGTAATGTATAGAGCCAAAAATGTTAGAATTGTGTCGATGTCCCAATATTTATGGAACTGACTGTAGATATATATGTGTGTGTGTGTGTGTGTATATATATATATATATATATATATATATATATATATATATTACAATTTAGTAATCTATCTTGGCCTGTATATTCTTGAATGTAGGACTGGTTTGATTAAAGTCTGAGCCTGGGTTCACACTTCTGCAGTGTAGCATGTTGCATGTGATCCACACAGGAACTGCACCTCATTCTTGTGAAAATCACATGCGAATTCTATGCAGTGCGATTTGAGCCATATATTTTGTATGGCTCAAATCGCACCGCATCCACACCAAGAAAGTGCAGGACACTGTTTTTGGTCTGCACTAGAATTGGATCACATAGGTATTCACACCCAAGCTATGATTCTACACATCGCACCACTTTTTGCAAACCGATTTCGGGGTGTTGTTAACTTAACACACACACCTGCAGCAGTTCACATAAATGGGGTGCGATTGTGATGTGGTGCCTAAGCCTGTGAACCCAGGCTTAGTGTTGTACAAGGATAATACCAGTCTTAGTTAAAGCAATGTGCAGTATGTGTTGTAGCCTATCAGAATCTATCTTGTACTGCTTACTGGACTGATTGCTTGCTATGAATTTAAGCATTTGGATTTAATCCATCGTGCACATTTTTCTTAGATTTCTTAATAATTCTTAATTAGTATCTCCTTGATTTCATAACTTGAGATTCCCCATTTTCCAGCAATGGTCTGTTGGTTTCCCAGAGCCCAGGAAGCTAAAATGTTATTTGTTTTCTAATCTTAACTATGTAGGTTTCATTTCTTATAATCATCTCTGCATGCCAAGGGCCAATTGGTCTTTTGTTCTTTTATTGAACTTGTCATTGTTTGTGTTTCTCAATATATAGAAAGCAGTTTGCCACTTTTGTAATAACTATTTTTGTGAGGATTTTTTAATTATCTAAAACAAATTCTAATTGTATCACAAAGTTTTTAGCTTTATAAAGTCCTGCTTTTTTGTCTGTTTTACAGCTCCGTCCAGTAGGAAAACAGGAGATCCACTGGTTTATTTCAGATATAAAGAAAGGCAGTGTTGCACATCGGTGAGTGTTCTGTTCTATAGATTTTTGTAGTAGTATAAAACATAAAATTGGCTGAAGCATACTTTACTGTATAACTACTCAGGGGCATAGATTTAATTTATGTTCCTACAGGACAGTTGCGCCAAGCATTGGATTTATATGTAGTAAATTCTTGTAGTATATTGTTCCCTTGGCAGGACATGGTTAGGGAAAGGGCCCTCATGATAGGTGAGGTTAGATTAGGCTATAAGCTTCTTCCAGCCCAGAAACTGATATGAATGACTCTAGGTACACTGTAAATCACTGTGGAATATGTTGATGCTGTATAGCCAAAGCTGTCTTTGTGAAAATAAATGATTAGACTGCCATTAATTTGTCTTTCTTGGAGAGCTGTTGCATTGAATATGAGGTCTGAGGACAAATAAAACAGATAGAATTATGGGAATTGACATTGCTGAGTTGGTTTTTAGGTTGAATTTTTCTTTATTAACATTTTCATCCAAACATGATTGTCCATGTACAGCACAGGGACTCTGGAGCTGGGGGATAAACTGCTTGCCATAGACAACATCCGGCTGGACAACTGCTCTATGGAGGATGCAGTTCAGATTTTACAGCAATGTGAAGACCTGGTGAAGCTGAAGATACGCAAAGATGAAGATAACTCAGGTTAGGAGGTTAACAAAATTATTAAATCCCATTTCATTTTATCCTCATTTCTTCTCTCTTTTGTGATCTATTTTCTACTTTTGTCTCTTTTGGTAATGATATGATAAAAAAAACAGAATAAACCATATATTAAAAAGCAATAATGAATTCTACAAATTGGTAGCTATAGCCTTAGACCAACATAAAATCTATCTAGTTTGAGCAATTTAGTATTACAGTGGGCAGGGCATGGGATTGAAAGAGCTGCATTTGTCAGTAAATGACCAGTAAATGAAAATGTACTCTATTTCCTTTTTGTGTACATTGTTTTTACGTACGGTGCAATTGTTCTTTGCATTGAATGCTTTAGACCAGGGATCTCCAAACTTTCTAAACAGAGGGCCAGTTTACTGTCTTTCAGACTTTAGGGAGGTTGGACTATGGCCACTGGGAAAAGAAAAGGTCCCGACATCATTGGGGAAAAAACAATGCCCCATTTTTTTGTGTTAGTGGAATAGTGCCCCATTATTGGTGCCATTAGGAGAAACTGTGCCCCATTGTTGGTGTTATTGGGAGGACCTGTGCCTCATCATTGGTGTCAGTGGGAGGAACTGTGCACTATCATTGGTATCATTAGGAGGAATTGTGCCCCATTGAAGGTATCCTTTAGGAGGAGTTATGCCTCATCGTTAGTGTAATTGGGGCTAATTGTGCCCTGTTGTTAGCATCATTGGGAGGAATTGTGCCCGATCATTGGCAGGAATTGTGCCCCATCGTTGGCGTCATTGGGAGTAATTGTGCCCCTTCATTGGTATCATTGGGGGGAATCATGCCCCATTGTTGCTAGTGGATGAAATCATGCCCTAAGGGCCAGATAAAAGCAAGCAAAGCATCTGGCCACCACTGCTTTAGACTGACTAAATAATTATTATTATTATGGGTACTTATATAGTGCTGACAATTTACGCAATAATTTACATATATATTGTGCATACACATCAGTCCCTGACCTCTAAGGTCCCTAACTCAAATTCATACATACACACACTAGGACCAATTTAGACAGGATCTAATTAACCTACCAGCATGTCTTTGGAGTGTGGGAGGAAGCCGGAATAACCGGAGGAAACCCCGCACAGGCAGAACATGCAAACTCCAGGCAGGTAGTGCCCTGGTTGGAATTTGAACCGATAACCTAATTTTACTTTTACCATATCACTGTTTTGTAAAAGCAAAGGCAGCTGTGCATAAAAAGAGAACCAAATTAAAGTTAATCAGTCAGAAACAAAGGAAAAATTAATGGGCTATAAATCTTCCATTGGATTGGAATCTACAGTAAATTATAACTATAGAACCCAAGCAAATATGGTGTTTATAGACTACAGCGGACCTAAATTTTCTGACTATGCACTCATTATAATATGCAAATGATATCTCAAATAAAGAAAAAACCAAGCCATGTCCCACTCAACTTTGTTTATTGTTCACGAACATAAGACACCACATTAAGACCCATGAGCCTTCCCTAGAAAAATTGAAGAGCTCTCCTAGCATAAATAAATGAAAGTACTGTCAACAACATATCTCACACATACACTGCTCAAACAAATTAAAGGAACACTTTGAAAACACATCAGATCTCAATGGGGAAAAAAATGTCATGCTGGATATCTATACTGATATTGACTGGGTAATGTGTTAGAAACATAAGGATGCCCCATCGTTTGAGGAATGAAAATTATAAACCTACAGAGGACTGAATTCAAAGACCCCCCGAAAATCAAAGTGAAAAAAAATGATGCAGCAGGCTAGTCCATTTTGCTGAAATTTCATTGCAGCAATTCCAAATGGTACTCAGTAGTTTGTATGGCCCCCACGTGCTTGTATGCATGCCTGGCAATGTCGGGGCATGCTCCTGATGAGACAACAGATAGTTTCTTGGGGTATTTCCTCCCAGGTCTGGGCCAGGGCATCACTGAGCCCCTGGACAGTCTGTGGTGAGCAGCATCGGATGGACCAAAACATGATATCCCAGAGGTGTTGTATTGCATTTAGGTCAGGCGAGCGTGGGAGCCATTCAATGGTATCAATTCCTTAATCCTCAAGTAACTGCCAGCATACTCTCACCACATGAGGCCAGGCTTTGTTGTGCACCAGGAAGGAACTCAGGACCCACTGCACTAGCGTAGGGTTTGACAATGGTCAAAGGATTTCATCCCGTTACCTAATGGCAGTCAAAAGTGCCATTGTCTAGTTTGTAAAGGTCTGTGCTTCCCTCCATGGATATGCCTCCCCAGACCATCACTGACCCACCACCAAAATGGTGATGCTGAATGATGTTACAGGCAACATAACGTTCTGCATGGCTTCTCCAGACCCTTTTAAAACTGTCACATGTGCTCAAGGTTAACCTGCTCTCATCTGTAAAATAGCACAGGGCACCAGTGGGGGACCTGCCAATTCTGGTGTTCAATGGCAAATGTCAATCTTGTTCTATGGTACCGGGCAGTGAGCACAGGGCCCAATAGAGCACGTCGGGCCCTCAGGCCACCCTCATGAAGTCTGTTTCTGATTGTTTGATCAGAGTCATTAACACCAGTGACCTGCTGGAGGTTATTTTGTAGGGCTCTGGCTGTGCTCATCCTGTTCCTCCTTGCACAAAGGAGTAGATACCGGTCCTGCTGATGGGTTAAGAACCTTCTATGGCCCTGTCCAGCTCTCCTAGAGTAACTGCCTGTCTCCTGGAATCTCCTCCATGCTCTTGAGACTGTGCTGGGAAACACAGCAAACCTTCTGGCAATGCCACGTATTGATGTGTCATCCTGGAGGATTTGGACTGCCTGTAAAACCTCTATAGGGTCCAGGTATCATCTCATGCTACCAGTAGTGACACTGACCCTAGCCAAATGCAAAACTAGTGAAACACAGGCAGAAAAGATGAGTTTGGGGGAAAAAATTGTCAGTGGCCTCCACCTGTAAAACCGTTCCTGTTTTGGGGATTGTCTCGTTGTTGTTGCCCATCTAGTGCACCTGTTGTTAATTTAATTAACACCAAAGCAGTTGAAACTGATTAACAACCCCCTCTGCTACTTAACTGACCAGATCAATATCCCAGGAGTTTAATTGACTTGATGCTGTACTCTGATTAAAAAGTGTTCCTTTCATTTTTTTGAGCTGTGTATATGTGGATATTCAACATATTTATAAAGAATGTGTACATAGCTCAGGAGTCCAAAAAGAACACTGGGACAGGCCACATCCTAAAATCAATAAACCATGTAATGCGGAAAAACAAATGTCAAGATGTAAATATATAGAGCTACACCAGGAATGCAATATCCAAGGTATAGCAAAGAAGTTGGTAATGTCTCCTAAACCCCAGTGTATTTACCTGGAAGTACAACTTCTCCAATACCTTGGTGTGAGACTTTGAATGTAAGTAATGACAATGTTAAAAATGCTCAGCTTGCAGTGAAAAAAAGCATTTGTGCAGCGCTACATGACATGTAAGGCATAAAGTTAGAGGTTAAAGGATGGTTTACTGGTCTCAGAGAAGCTGTGCTTGCAGGAAAATATGCTAAATCATAAATAGGTGCAGTATCTATGCAGAACTACCGTATTTTTTGCTCCATAAGACGCGCTTTTTTCCCCCAAAAAAATAGGGGAAAATGTCTGTGCGTCTTATGGAGCGAATATGGAGCAGCCTGCCTGGTATTCCCCCCGTGTTAGAATACCGAGCCGGCCGCTCAACTCTTCTCTGCAGACCTTCAGTGTCCCTAACTGTTCCTCGGTCCAGCGGTCTCCTCCGTCTTCTCTCCCCGGCGCCGACATGTACACCCGGCTGTGACAGCTTGCGGCTTCACAGCCAGATGCCCACTGAGCATGCGCGAGAAGCGCCGCGCTTTGTGAATGGCCCTATAATCTTCTGGGACCTGTCACGTGTCCCTGAAGACTACGGGGAGGGAGGGGGAAGGACAATTCCGCGAAAGTGGGAGCGGGTTCCTGTAAAATTTGGGTACCCGCTCCCCCCCCCCCCTCCACTCCCCAAAGGTCCGCAGTCTCTGGTCTTCTGTACTGTGTCCGCAGTCTCTGGTCATCTGTAGTATGTCCGCAGTCTCTAGTCTTCTGTACTATGTCCGCAGTCTCTGGTCTTCTGTACTCTGTCCGCAGTTCTGGTCTTCTGTACTATGTTCACAGTCTCTGGTCTTCTGTAGTATGTCCACAGTCTCTGGTCTTCTGTACTCTGTCTGCAGTTCTGGTCTTCTGTACTATGTTCACAGTCTCTGGTCTTCTGTACTATGTTCACAGTCTCTGGTCTTCTGTACTATGTCCGCAGTCTCTGGTCTTCTGTACTATGTCCGCAGTCTCTGGTCTTCTGTACTATGTACGCAGTCTCTGGTCTTCTGTACTATGTCCACAGTCTCTGGTCTTCTGTACTATGTCCGCAGTCTCTGGTCTTCTGTACTATGTCTGCAGTCTCTGGTCATCTCCTGTACTATGTCTGCAGTCCATTGGTTCAGAATATTTTTTTTTCCTGTTTTCCTCCTCTAAAATCTAGGTGCATCTTATGGTCTCGTGCGTCTTATGGAGCAAAAAATACGGTATTTCAGAGACAGTATTTATATTCTCCTCTAATTTAAAGGACAATGTGTCCATCAAGGAATATCCTACCTCAAACCAAAAGTCATATTCTAGGTATTTGTGTCCCTCCAAGATATATCATGCTGAAGATATAGGAAAGCCTTTACATTGTATAAAAAAATTGTAGCTGTGACATTCCTGCAGCTGTATCCCAACTGCAACTGGGGTTTTCAAAGTATGGGACATCCATGAGATATCCGATAATCCCCTCACTGAGATGTCTGCACAAAAATTGTCTATTTAGGAGGATAATACAAATATCCTCACATCAATAAAGACTGCGCCCTTGCTCTACCATAGACTGGATTGATAAATTTAATCCGTAGTGGTGATTTAAAGTATGCTTACGCATCACAATTTTAAATAGACATATAAACAAA